CCCTATCTAGGACCGGGGGGGGGGGGGCGTCGTCACTGAATGACATCCAGTAAATTTCTAGCGGGGACCAATCAGAGGGCTGCTGAAAAATTTGAATAATTTATCAAGGCCCACGGACGCGGTTCTTTCACTTGTAAAGTAGCCAATTACCACCGAGCCGGTGGCACACGATGGGCGAAAACATGTATTTCACACCCATTGTACGTCGACATAAAGCGCTTATACATTACAAACAGAATTTTCGTAGGACTGCCATTACTTTAGTTTGCAGCATGTGTATTGAGAACGAGTATCTTCATAATTCTGCTGGCTGTTTGTAGAAGAACGGCACAAAAAAACAGTTTTCAATACCAACACGACTTAGCAGATAACACGTAATGAAGACCACTTTTTACGCAGATTGTAGCACTACGTAATGTTACGCAAACTAACAGTAGATGTTTTAAGGAATTCACAGAAATGGCAATGATAGATAATGTAACTCATATACATTATACAGCACAAAATAAAGAGTAACAGTAATGTAGTCGTCTTTGGCCGGGTATGGCAAGTTATAGTACGTACATGTATCGGTTCAATATAATCTTTAACGGGTAAGTTGACAGCAACAAGCAAGATGCATAGGTTCTATTACTTTTGTAGCTCACTTGCGTCTAGATTTAGGACGAACCCATGTTACTTTTTTGCCGCAGTTTTTCATGTAGTGGTTACTTCGACAGCCTTTCCGCTGACGCAAACATACTAGTTTGAGGTTCCACAGTTCTTACAACGTTAGCGCTTGAAGTGGTGTTTTCCAAGTTTGTTGGTCTGGTGATGTTGTCTTTGTTGGCTTGTTGTCTGTCATTTCCCTCCATTTTTATGTTTGGCGGCCCGTCTTCGATGGGTTGGGTTTGCTTCACAAATCTCGGCTTCGCTAAGATCCGTTCCTTCCCGTACGTAGTGGTCGCTCCATTAGCGCTAGTGCAGCCACATTTTAATGTTTAAAACTTAATGTCTACAGTCCCGTTTTGATTCGTTCATCAAAGTAGATTTTACTAAGGTATGACTTTACTAACTGATTGTGGAAGCACTAGTACTTAGTACTGATGTAAACAAGAAACAATATACGCGCTCTGGTTGAGTTCATGGCATTTACATGAAACAAGGTGCTAATAGCCGCTAGTCGGTGACGCGTCAGCAGCCCTATGATTGGTCCCCGCTAGAAATCTACTGGATGTCATATACTAGTAGTGTACACGGGGGGGCGGGGCTAAAAGTGCCCGCGCCAACTTTGATGCCACATAGCGTCTGAACGGTTAGAGCTAGAACCGCCAAACTTGGTGACTTTTCCTAAAATATTGTTGGCAACAAATCTGTATCATTGGTATAAGATTATGATTTTTGGTGTTGCCATGGCAACGGGTTTCTGACGCATTTTTTTGCTAAATTTAATAATTTTCATTTCAACAACAGAATTTTAAGGGTTTTATGTCAAGTTACACATGGTTTCTAATATTAATAACATCTCCGATAACAATATGTAAATTTTATCATTAAAAATGCATAATTTATGCTAATTTGATGACGTCATCGGCCAAAATCCAAGATGGCGGACCATATCATTAGAACAGGTATATACGGGTTATTTTCCTTAAAATTTCATCAATACTTCCATTTCTTTTTACAAAAAAGGTTCATATGAATGTCTTTAGTCTGTTTACAATGTATTTTAGGCTTTATCCTGAAAAAAAACTATTTTTCAAATTTCAAGATTGATGATCCAAGATGGCGGATAGCTAATGTATGCATGACGTCTTTTTATGACGTCACAGGTGTTGCTATGGGTAACATAAGACTTAGTACACCCTAATAATCTGTCATAAACACTTTTGGTAAAGTTATGTCGTATACTGTTTAGTTTTCAGGGAAGAACCTATCTAGGTGGTTTTGGCCAATAAAATCACATTTATGACGTCATAATGACGTCATATTACGTCACAACGACGTAAAAATTTTAGATATGATAAATTTTTACTAGTACACCATCCTCTGAAAATTTGGTGGTCACACGACATACCGTTCGCGAGTTCTGAGGGGGGGCCGAAAGAGCCCCCCCCCCCGGTCCCACCAAGCCCAAAAAAGCCCGGTCTAGATAGGGTTAAAGGGTATTACGAAATTAGCTGGAAATGGCTAGCCTCCACCAGGCCTTTCTACGGGAATACGGAATTCGTCAAAAAAAGAGAATAAAATTGGCCAAGGAGTCCGGTCGCGGGGAGGTACTTTCTTTGCCTCCGTCAAACCATGGGGTTAAAATCAAATTTAACCTCCTTGGTCAGACCGTGGAGGTCTCTTTTCCTACCTCCATGGTCAGACCTACCCTGGCAATTATTCTCCTATATATAGCCAGCGTAGTTAGTCTGGGAGGGACTAGGGAATGGCACGGTGGGGCCCATGGGTGGGGCCCCTGGACTGGAGATCTTCCTTTAGTATCTGGCTGAAATGACATGATGTACTCTACTCTGGTCTGCTAGCCTGGGTACCAGCCGGATTTTCGCTACGCAACGCTCGAAAAAATCATTTTTTCGAGCGTTGCGTAGCGAAAATCCGGATGGTACCCAGGCTACTGGTCTTCTGCTATACTCAACAAACTCCCCTGGCAAATCAACCACTCGGCACAGTTTATTATTATTAAACTTTAATATGGTTTTTAACCTTCTTGTGGACAGGTACAGAACCACCGTTTCGTTCATAGTCTGCTGCAGTTCTGATAGGGGGCGCAGCTGCACTGATGCAGAAATTAAAGTTGCGGGGCGAGAGAATGTTCCCAGCAATCTGGTGGTACGAGTAATCTCCTAATCTCCAAGCAGATTCTGTGAAGCAAGGGAAGTCTATATTGGACTCCTGTAACCATTGGCTGCCCATGCGACCAATTATAGACTCCTCTTGCCCCACAGAATGCGGATGAGGGGTTCAAGACTAAATACTGCTTTACGGGCTTTTAAAGTTATTAAAGCGGCAGTGGCTTTCGAGCTGGGTTTTGAACCTCTGGCGGTTTTTTCCTGGTACTGCAACCTTGCTCTTGTCTCTTATTCTCCACTTTCTCCCAATCCCCCTCCTACAAAAAATGACACAAATGTGTTTTAAAAAGCGTGTATGAAGCCGGTGTTGTTATTCTTACGGTAGAGCATCCAATATAATGTAACTTTAAATAATTACAGTGTGTGTAAATGCAAAGGAGTACAGCGTTTACTGGTTTACACAGACACAAACCAATAACAGTTACAGCAAATATTTCTGAAACGATGGTTTTGCCGTATCCAGTATCATTTTGACGATGAGCTCAGTAATTATCAGTTACTTGGCACGAAATTCGTCCTTTTGCCCCCAATTTCATCATTCGGCATGTTACTCTCCAAGCAGAGGTTTGGGCTTTGGCTTATTTTTGGCGTGTTTTTAGGCTTTTTGATCGAGCTTTCTTTTTTGTACGGTCTGGTATATTTTTTTGTCAACAACAACAAAAGGATAACAGTACACAAAAAGAAAGACCAATAAAAAAATCAAAACACGCCTAAAATAAGCCAAAGCCCAAAACTCTGCTTGGAGAGTACCAACATGTAACGTTAGGCGAGGGTCTGCATGGGGGGGGGGGTCCTGGCAACGGTTAACGGTAAATTCAGCAGGGCCGATAACGCTTAACGGTAAATTCAGGATGGTCGCCAACGGTCAACGGTAAATTGACAGGCTTTTTTTCGAGCTGCACTGGATTTGATATCTCGCTTTGTGAGAAAAGATGATCACTAATTTACATGTGATGAAGAACGCATTAAAGTTATGTGTTCCCTGTGTTTCCCACCTGCCCTGCGTCCACAAATAAAGGGGAGTCCGAGTCGACGTCGGCCAGGGCTCTACCCAGGTTGACTTTTCCCCGTCCGCCCAGTTTTACCCGATGGATTTTGAGAGGGGAGCGCCGAAGGCGCTCGCAATCTGAGGGGGTCCGTGGCCGGGGAGATGCTCCCCCGGAAAATGTATGATTTTTAAGCCTTCAAAAACGCAATCTCCCGCATTTTGAGAGGGAAATTATGGTGATGAGAGTGTTTGTCGGTCCTTCTGATGTTTTCATATTTTTACTATTTGACGAATTCGTGTAAAAAATTATGTAACTCTCCGCAAACTTCCGGTAATTGACGCAAAACTGGTACTGGCTACAGCCGAAGGGAACGAGCGCAGACGCGCGAGTCGAGCGCCAAAGGCGCGAGCAATGTAGGGGGGTCCGGGGGCATTCTCCCCCGGAAAATTTTGTATTTTTAACCTTCAATGACACATTTTCCTGCACTTTGAAAGGCAAAATTAGGCGTAACGAAGAATTATTCATTAACGCTTAACGCTGAATTTAGGATGACAAATAACGTTTTACGTTGAATTAAAACGACCAATAACGCTTCACGATGAATATACTGATAACGCTTAACGTTGAATTAGAACAGGCCGGTAACGATTAACGGTAAATTAAAATAGCCCATAACGGTTAACGAAAAAGGGCATGCAGGCCCTCTTAGGCCTATCACAAGCTAAGATAGCTTGAAAGGTCTTTCAAGTTGTTGATCTGTAGTAGCCTCTACCAGGCTTCGGAAAGAGTAGAAATCGACCAAATAGAGAGATAACACGCGGGTGCAGCAAAATGTTCTCTCCCAGCAGACAAACTCCCCTGGTATGTTATCTCTCTATTTGGTCGATTTCTACTCTTTCCAGCCGCCCCCCGAAGCCTGGTAGAGGCTACTGTAGATGTTAGAATCGATCTTTACTTGCGCATCTCTATGCCCAAATATGGGCAGAGAGACAGAACTGACCGGGGACGATCAGACGGCGACACCGGCAGCACGTGGAAGTGGCATGCAGGAGTGAATGTAACAGTTAGTTCTGCTGTTTGCGATAGAGACAGGCGTTCATATCGGCAACGATGCTCAAACTTAAGATTCAGGGGCTTTCAAAGAACCTTTAGGATCGACTGGTAGCCGATGTTAAGGTATCTGTTGAACTTATAATGAAACTCCGACGTAAGCGTAGTGTGGCGGTAACGTTTGTTAACGTTAACAGTTAACAGTTTCGACTAGATTTTAACGTTTAACCTTACATAACACAATTAACGTTAAATGTTCGAAACTAATGACTATTGATAAGTTCATGACTCAATCTCAATATAAGAGTCATGCCTCAGCCTCTTATACTCACGATATTATTTGTAACTCGTTATATGTTAACTGTAATACACGCCTTAACTGTTAACATCCGTGTCCATAATATCACCAGGGTCCATAATATCACCACCTTGAGAAACAGTGTGCTTTAAGATATTTTTACTGCAACATACTTTTGGTATGCACTCCTGCACACCTCAAATGTACATACCTAGGGTATGTTGCAGTAAAAATATATTTAAGCACACTTTTTCTCAAGGTGGCGATATTATGGGCTCTGGTGATATTATGGACAGTCACACTGATGTTATACAGTAACGTTTTTTATCGTTACTCATTTACATGTAAATTACAATGTACATAACATGCCTCAGCCTATGTATAAAAACAATGGCGTGCCTGATCCATTTTCCCCCTTATGTTGCAGACGGGAATTCTCCACACCACAGGGAGACATTCTAGTTCCAAAGACAACACATATTGCGCTGACTTTCTGAACAATTCCTATGTCGCCATATTCATCTTGGTACAGACATTTCAACATCAGTGTGTGAAATTTTGGAAGTTTTTGGTGAGAAAAATGAAAGTCGTGGACCTGCAAGAGCAAGTGTCAGATCCTAATATTGAAGTTAATTGAGAACTCCTTTTCCTTCAGACTTTCAAATGTTGTCCAAGTGACTGAGTAGAACTGTAACATAGATATCAGGACATGAGCACTGGCTAGCCATCAACTTATCTGCAATGAAAAGATTTGCTGGTTTCAGTGATCAGTTGGAGCTTCTATGTACAGTGTAGATGGCTTGCTAAGCTGAAGCAGGGACCATGAATAACTGTCAACTCAGGTACATGTTCACTAAGACTACTATGGATGAGGAAAGGTTACATCAAGAGAATCCAGGAGGCACAGCTTCTCCTGCAAGTGTAACGTTATCTGTCTGCCAGGATCAAGTGAAGGGTGAGATACATTTAGGGAAAGAGATAAAGGCCTCAACTACTGCTGGTACACAAGCAGACGCTTGTTCTCCACTACCAGATTGTTCTGATCCCAAAAACAAACGTCAAAAAAGACTTCCACACTCGTCCTGCTGTAGAACTGTGACGTATGATCACAAAAGGGGAACATTCATCGCAAGAAACCTAACCGTACGAAAGGAATGGAGACGTGTGGAGCGAATCAAGAACATGACACAACGTGGACACAGCAAGTCAGAACAGAAGGAGAGTACAGCAAGGAAGACCACAAATCCAGCTTGTCCACGTGATTACATGGAAACCAAGTCATCAGAAACAGTACAACATAAGGAAATGATAGATTGTACAAACCTGTACGAGCTTCAGGGCTCCCTGACACGGTCAGATGTTCTTCACAAGTCCAAGAGGATGGCAGTATCACCCCCGTCAGTAGTGACCCACAATAAGAGGCAACTGGAGATCAGAAGAAACTGTTGGCTTGGCAGTCCCAGGATTCCTAATGGATACCCCAGTTTCCATTGTAACAAGAAGGTGGGTAAGAAAACTGCACGGGCCTCCTTAAGGACAGGTATTCCAGGAAAGTATGTACAAAAGTACAGCAGCAATCGTCTTCCTCATCAGGGGCAGAAAGTACCGTTAAAATCCTGTCCTGTGTATCAACCTCCAGCTGAGGAAAAGAAAGATGAGAGTATGAAGCATGATGGAGAAAACACAGTAGGCAGACCTGGGACGTTAAACTGTGACTTGTCCAAACACAGGCCAGGAGAAAGTCTGGTGAGTCATCAGCCTTTACTTTACAAAATAACTCTATGTTACAACTTACTGCTTCCCAGCGATATGTAAATT